GTTCAGTGGCTGCAGTCACACATGGCTAGATGCTTTTGGAGCTGCACCTGTAGAACAGCTGGCTGTTGATTCCAAATCCGGATCAAGGTGAGTGTACCAGTGAAAACCAATGTAAAGCTTTCTGACCAGACCGGCTGCAGGACTTGGGCACTTCAGTGGCTGCAGTCACACATGGCCGGGTGCTTTTGGAGCTGCACCTGTAGCACAGCTGGCTGTTGATTCCAAATCCGGATCAAGGTGAGTGTACCAGTGAAAACCATCCTTGAGCCTTGCCAGGAATTCATTTGGGGATTCCGTGGATTTTTTAAACAATCTCATATACTCTGTGAAGGTTTCACAGCCTTTGGCACTCCTAATTTAAGGCAATTAATTACAGCATTTCTTGCTGCTTTCAGCAGGTGGGGCCCAGCAAACTTATTAGGATTGGGATCAATAACTCAGGTTATGAGGGCTGCTGCTTCAGGCCAATCAACTCTTCCATTGCCATTGGCTATTTGTTGAACCCTATGAATAGTATACCAGGCGTAGGTCTTAGCAAGAGCCTGGCATTTCTCATCTTCGCTTAGGAGGCTGCTCAGAAGAGTGGTGAGTAGTAATGATCCGTTGGATCAAGTCCACGTACTTCTGAAGATCTTGTTTCCAGTTAAATAAATCAGCAGTGGGGAATGGAGTATGGGCCAGCACTAATTTATTTCCCATTGGAAGCTCCATTAAGGGGAGAACTTTCTCCACAGGTTTAGCGATCTGTGGGCACTCGCTATGTGGTTTGTTTAGAAAATTTTAGGACATTCGATTTGGTGCCCTAATCTTCTAATTCAGTGGTCCCCAACCTTTTCGGGACCGCTGAATTAGAATCAATCAAACATTACAGTCCTACTACAGATTCAATTTGAATACACGTTTTGAAAAGCTTCCACTTCTGCAGGTGTTAGTAATAAAGCTGTGGAATCTGCTCTCAGCCTTCGGATTTCTGTGTGCAAATAATCATTTACATGGGCAAACACAACTCTCCACATCATGTGCTTGTTACATACAGCACTGATGTTACAAATAAACCTTATTCTTTTTTATTGTTTAAAAATCCATCCCTGGTCTGTGTGACTTCTTATAGGGAATGGTTGGTGGCAGCTTAGTGTAACTGTGTGACATATCCCAGTAGGTCTGGGTTTGTCACAGTGCTGATCACAATTTATTGGTCCTGGGTCCGTCACATATGGGACATTGTGTTCTGCTCTGCCATTCGTTTGGCAAAGGAAAATAGGATGTTAGCTGAAGTGTGACTGCTGCTCGCTTCCAGCATCTGCAGTCTTGAGCTCTTAGAATTCCACGTCAGTCACGACCCAATGTTTACTCCTTTTAAAATGTGAAATCAGTCTAATCTGACACATATAGAACCAGTCTTTTAATCAAAGGTATGTAAGTCTCGCTCTTATTAAAGTTACTATCCTGTTGTGCCTTGGGGAAATATTACTGGATGATGGGGTGAGCAAAATACACGGTGCAAATTAGGTTATCAGAAGATATATTTTTAAAAAATGTATGTGCTCTCTCTTCCTTCTTAGTGACCACTACATATTATGCTATTTCTTGATGGCAAATATTTTAAAATCCTATTTTTTGTAACTTTTTAAACAGATGGAACACAGTTATATAAAAATTTGACCCTGAATGATATTTTATGCTGTGAACTACTTTGTGAAGACTGTCGTCCTGAACAGAAGCATACAAAGATACTGTACTTAACAAATACATTACCAAACATACAAACTGTGGGATTGCTTGGAGAGCCTGCGGTTATACTGGCCAATCCTGACTAAACGGAATAAGGTGACTGCAGCAGTGGTGCTGACTGAGACAACCTTTCCTGGGGTTCAGCTTTCACTGTACGCCAGTTTAGCAGGAAAAGACAAGGAATTAATTGCAGCCATTAGTGGGTCTTTCCCAGAACATCTGGGGAAAAATACAGATTGGTGGTTTAAAATGGGGTGTTTGTTTTAGTCTGACTGAAGTGCTTGATGGGTATTTCTCCATCTGGTGAAGGTTGGACTTTGATCTACAAATAGCCTCAGTAGGAACGGTAGCCCCATAAAATTAATCTGAACCAGCCAGGCGCCTTGTGGATGCAGTTGGTTTTCAGGATGCTCTCTTAACTCATTTGGCTAATCCTCTAATCACTCCTGGAATGGGAACCTGGATGGGTGGTAGTGATGGAAACGTCTTCTCTTTTGCTGCCAAAGCTCTAGTTGTCAGTATGCTTTCATGATGGCTCAGGGAAATGACATTTCCAGAATTACATCATAAGTGCAGATGGAAGAAAATCTGAGAGCACCTTTGAAGGTTTTCCTGTAGCAGTGATAGCAGCACAAACATTTCCTTACCCAGTATGGCTGCACAGATTCTTTTATAAAGCTGTTCTGACCTAAATCTTCAACCCAGTCCTAGGGCCTTGGAGGTTGCTTAGCAGCCCACTGCAACAGCTTAGCGTTGTGCAGATGCAATCATAACTATTGTAATATGGGGACTTCTTAGCAAACATGTGTAGAATTGGCTTCAAACCTACACATACTTATGTGGACGTAAGTTCTGCTGCAGTTGATAGAATTCATTTCTTCTTTTCATTTTTTAATCATTTAGATCAGTCTGGTTTACTACAATTATCTTGCTATTGATGGTTGCCAACTTCTTACTATTGAAAATGCCTTAAGTTTTTTTTTTTTAAAAAGATAATTCAATAAAAAGTATCTAAACATGAGATATGAAAGTCAAGCCACTGTTAATAAGGGCAAGGCAATATATTTTTTTCCTTGGTTGGTTGGCAAGCTTGTTCCCAGATATTACTGAGTAGCCATATATTTGTATACGTGTGTTAAGATAATCCTCATTATTGACTTTTATTACATCTGGGAATGAATAGTTGCATGAAGTCAAAGTTAATTGATGACGTTGATGATGTTTCAGCACCAGGTCAAAATCTTCCTGCTCCATTTGTGGTCCAGGGTTCCTTTTTCAATGCCAGTATTGTGTTAATTGCACACCATGGTTCAAGGTCTGATTTATTGTGTAACATTAGATCAGATCACACAGGACAGTTGCATCCTCTTGTGCAACATAAACACATTTCCACCCAAAGCTGGAGATATTCCAATAGATTCAGATCTGATTATTCGCATCCTCCGTTCTTTCGTAAACAAACATTGTTTTGTTTTGGAATCCTTCCATATAATGTTTGCATATTAAATCAATATGCATAATTTCACATTCTTTTTATAGGTTGGAAAAGTATATTATTTGGGTAAAAGGAGCTTGGAGTGCAAAAGGGTCCAAAAGAAATTCCTCAGCAATATGGCTATAAGGAGTACTCATACAGTTTTCTGGAACTGGTGCAATGAAATTTAACATCTACATGTGAGTTGAGATACAATCTGTTTAATGGTACAATATACAATTATACCTGTACTACAGCCACTGAAGAAGATCAACAAGAAACACAAAAGAAAAAGAAAAAAAGGCATTGTGCTATATTTTAATGTAAGCTTTCATGGGACATTGCTCACTTCTTCAGACATATTAGAATAAAGAGATGACATGATAAAACATTCACTAAGAGACAGCGGTGTTTGGTTGCATTTCACACCTTGTAATATACAGTAGTCCTGTTTTGAAGCTATATCCTGTAAACAGCAACATGATTAAAAGAAACTACAGAGGAGCAGCTGTATTGTAGAGAATGACAGACTTTACCTTTGAGCTTGTATTGTAGAGAATGACAGACTTTACTTTGAGCCTTGTTCTGAAAATATTGGTCTGGTAGTTGTGAAGGAAAAGAACAATACGTAACAATGTAATTATCACATTTGGTAATGACTTAAGAAACCTTGTATAAGGAACATAAGACTATGTTCCTTATACCTAAACCTCTATAAACATTGTGACTGTATGTATATGTGGGCACATTTAGTGCTGCTGAAGTACATCTGTCATTTATTTAGTGCGTTTTTTCCTGTACCCAATGTGTACCAAAAGACAAAAGTATTATGGCATCTTAAAGACTAACAGTTTTATTTCAGTGGTTACAGATCAGTTTCTCAGACATCTGACATAAAATACTGCATTTAACTACGCATTCATATAGAAGTACAGATTGCTGTGGTGATTAAGTGAAGACTAAAAATCTAGAACCAGG